AATGTCTAAAAATAAAATCTAAATAGTAAAAATACATATTTTCCTTTTAAGGTCCCAAAGGAATCCTTTAGCGATTTTAGAAGCCATTGATCTTATCAAACAAGCATAAGAATATGAATCTGGAATATTTAAATTTCAATTTTGAATCAATTTTACCCATTGAATCCTCATGGCTTACAGCAAGCCACTTCACTTCTTTAGTTTTCCACAAAAAGTGGGCATAACAATAAAGGCATACGTCAAGAAAGTTTTCTAAACATCACTAGAGCACTAGAGTAAAGCTAAAGAGTGTTACCAAGGCTCGTAATTTCAACAACTCACTGTACAGTACAATCTGCTAATTATAGCTACAGGAAGCATGGTTAATTATAATTCTCAGGGAATTCAAACCCTTTAGATACTTTCAACTTCCTAAACGACTAGTCTGTTCTCCCAGAGTTGTTGACAGCAGCTGGTCGCATATGGGTTGGACCCTTTACTCCCCTCGACCTCTGGCACAGCAGCTGGAAGTAGTGACAGGACACGTGGAAACCAGGAGAAAAGCAGCAATAGCCTGAAATGAGGTATAAGCCGGCTTCATAAACCCCAGTCGGTAATTTACAGTTTTTTCAAGAAGCTGCATAGTTTGGCAAAAATATATCATCAGAAGAGGGGGCAAGAAAAAAGTGATCATGAAACTTCATAATTTATGACAAGTAACCATTTTAATAGACCAATTCTAGAATAAAGCTCAGTGTGAAAAGGAGTTGTTCTCCCTCCCTCTTAGCATACCAAGAGCAGGAACTGGAAGACTAAAGAGCACAGGAGGGAAAAGGTACACTAAGTGGCAAGGTCATCCACTTCAGACACTGCTTTCAGAATGATCTTTAAACAAATACTAAACCCTAGTTAATGACACCTGTGCTAAGTGCTAAGGATAGGGGAAGTGTATTATCTGAAATTTACATTGAAATGAAAAAATTTTTTTTGAGACAGAGTATCACTTTGTTGCCCTGGGATTGAGTATAGTGGCTTCACAGCTCACAGCAACCTCAAATTCTTGGGCTCCAGTGATTCTCTTGCCTCAGCCTCCCAAGTAGCTGGGACTACAGACACCTGCCACAAAACCCAACTATTTTTAGAGACAAGGTCTGGCTAGGGCTCAGGCTGGTCTCCGAACTCCTGAGCTCAGACGATCCACCTGCCGTGGCCTCCCAGAGTGCTGGGATTACAGGTGTGAGCCACTGCACTCAGCCTGAAATTAGTTTTTTTTAAACCCAGTGGAGTTACAGATGACTAGAGGGATGAAGACATGAACAGGTGTATGGTAATACATGCACAGTAAAAAGTTGATGGTCGAATCTAGGAGTGGGTATATTGTAAACGTTTTTCAATGTTGACATATGACATTTTTCATTGAACATGTTAAGGAAAATATTAATAGTTCTAAAATAAAATTAATTTAGCAGTATGTTTCAAAGATTTAAAGCACTCAGGCAATTTCAAATTTTAATTAATTGAACTAGGGAAAATTTTGCTTTAAAAGGCCTCAAACCTGATTTGTGAAGATGCCTCTTTTAATGTAGAAATGAATACAATAATTATTGTGCCAGTCTCTTCGTACACTTTGTTCACAAATATATAATTCTCTCCTCTACAGAAAAAAAAAGAATTTGAAAAAGACTAGTGAAATAAATAATTTTTCCAAACATCGGTGTCAAATTCTCCCAAATCTACCATACTACCAATCACACAGGAAATAGAAATGCAACACAGATCACAGACTGATTGCCATCCTGGGACAATTGGATTCATCTTCAGAGTATATGGGTCCTGATCAATAATGACAACAGTTTTATCAAATTGAGATTGCATTAGGAAAGAAAGAAAAAAAAAAAAAGATGTAGAACAGAATTCACACAGAGCTGTTATTGCAAACTCCTGTCTTGTGGATTGTGATTAATGGCAATAACTCTGTCATCTCTTCTCTTTGTGAAATGCTAACACTTGCTAAAGGCACTCAAATTCTGGGCTTAACGGAGACAGGGTCACATGGGACCATAAGCCAGTACTTTTTTTGGTAGCTACCCAGAAAGGGAGTTTACAAAAGTTCCTCCCATTCACAATGGGGGGACAACACCAAACAACTATCAGTAGAAATGTTTTATGAGAAGCTATTTACACAACTATTTGTCCATTCAGTTAGACTGACAGCAATAGCTCACAACAATAGGGGTTCCCCTACCAAAAAAAAAAAAAAAAAAGAGAGAGAGAGAAAGAGAAACAAAACCACACAACACTTTTATTATGTGTGAAACTCCTGAACAATCATTTACCTGCCAAGAAAAAAACAAACGATGAGGCAGAATGTTTTTAAATATCTGTCCAAAACCTGCCTATCCTGATAGGAAACTTCTTAATTTATTTCTAGGGCAGCTCTACTATGCTTGGTACGAGCTTCCCCAAGTTCTTCAGAGAACTTTCAGCCTAGGTCCTGACACTGAGGAAAGAAGACCACCATGCCCAGGCCTCTCTGCCAGGATCCATGTGGAAGAGTCACGTGTCTCATTCCCCACGGGTCCCAGGGCAGTCCTCAAACTTGCAGTCTCAGCCACCTCAGGAGCTAAGAAATCATAAATTCCACCACTAATCCCCAGAACCTATCTAAAGATGAAGACTTAACCAGATGTATACATACACATATATACATCTACATTTCTCCTTTGATTCTTGTTCAAACTGCAGATACGAGTAGGTAACCAAATGCAAGCACACAGTTCTGTAGAGCAGCTTTGTAAAGTAAGGTGAAAGGTTGCATGCTTCTCTGTAGTTAACTTTAAGTCAGAGGGATGTGAGGATGATCTGAAATTTTTTCTTCCAATCTCAGGACTTCAAAAATCCTAAATGTTTTTCTAAGTTTACCAACTAATTAGAAGGAAAAATAGTGAGAAAGATTTGGAAGAAGAACTTTGTCAAAATGAATGGTCTAAAAAAAAAAAAATTATTCCCTTTGCAGGATTCAGTGCTATAAGAGACCAGCAGACACACACAGTAACCCAGAGAAACAAGCAAACACAGTAAACAACAGGCACATATTTACAAGTTGCAGGATGTGATATACAAAGCCAAGACTGACAACAAATGCTCTGGCCAGCACGGAGTCATAAGGATTACAGGGCATACTCAGTTTTGTAAATGAACTTTTTTTTGAAAAAGACTTTGAAGGAATATGCAATCCAATCTTGTTTTTGAGACAGCATCTCGCTCTGTCACCCTGGGTAGAGTGCCATGGCCTGTTAGCTCACAGCAACCTCAAACTGCTGGGCTCCGCAATCCTCTTGCCTCAGCCTCCTGAGTAGCTAGGACTACAGGTGCCCCCCACAACACCCAGCTCGTTTTCCTATCTTCAGTAGAAATGGGGTCTCATGCTTGCTCAGGCTGGTCTCGAACTGCTGAGCTCTGATGATCACCCACCTCAGCCGCCCAGAGTGCTAGGATTATACATGTAGCCACTGTGCATGGCCACAATCCAGTCATTTAATGGAAACAATTAAATGGAATAATTTAATGGAATTTTTTTTTAACAACTTCTTGCCTTCAACCCCTAAGAAGAGTTTCTGCTATCTTCTAACATTGATTTTTCTAATGACAGTTTACACCAGTGGTTCTCAGCCTTCCTAATGCCATGATGTATTTTCATTGTTACAAAGGGGTCTCATGAACCATATGTTGAGAACCGCTGGTTTACACAAAGATAGTCACAGAAAAAAGAGACTTGTGATGCTAATTCTTATGAATGTTTACTTAAATCTACTTAATTTTTTTTTTAAGAAAGGTTTTCCATTGTTTCAGCCTCTGTCTATCCTTGAATACAGCTGATAAAAGACACTAACATGATTCCTGGGAAGCATTAAATCCTGAAGCATTTAACAACAGAGCAGGACGGGACTTCACAGAGTAAAACCGATGGGGATCACACATCACTGACTCAGAAGCAACAACAGTCTGCTTAAACAGGGAAGAACACTGAGTACATGGGATACATGACAACGGGAAGGTGTACCATGCAGAGATGTATCTGCACAGGCATCTCCTGCCTGATGACCTGCTACCCTTTGTCTCACCCGTGGAGCACAGGAGAACTGTAAAACACAACCTACGGTAATAGAAATCTCAGGTTTTTTCAGATGTGCGTGTAACCTCTACAAATGATCATGGATGTGCTTTAACAACCTCCTGGGGGTTTGGAAATTAAGGAGAAAACCGACTTATTGTAGGCAATATGGTACGAAAGTGTCATATAAAACAAACACATAGCTCTTTTTTAGTGCAAAGAAATACAGCAAGTAAGAAACGCTATAAATCTAACCTCTTTCTTTAAAAGAAAACGCACTTATGCATTCATAACATCCATTAAGGGCACTGAGACGCTGGAAACCTGAATACACAAGGCCTGAAGAATATCAAGCCCTTAAGTCTACTGCTTTTTGTGTAAATAATGAAATTGGTAAGTGGTGGGAGCTGGGAACCCTTCTTCTAATTTTACTTCCAAAGGAAAACTGAAAATGGATAAATGTCACTTTTACAAAATGTAAACTCATGTCTTCTACTGCTATTTGAAATCAAGGTTTAATGAAATCTTCACTATGATTATCGTGTGTGGGGGGTGGGGTGCATACACACACATATCTGCAGAGAAAGAAAATGAGATTTTTAAATAATCACAAACCAAGTGGTCAGCACTATAGTTTAAAATACACCAAAAAACTATTCTTAGCAGCAAAATAAGTAACCTACTGGCCAATAAGAAAAGGCTTAACTTGCCTAATCCACCTTACTTTATAGATTACTACAAAAAGGGTTGTTATACTAAAAGTCATAGGTCTAGATAGAATCACAAAAGATTATTTCATTCTTCTATCTCTGCAAGAAAAAAAAAATGACCAAATAATTCTACTGTAAAAAAAAAAAAAAAAAAAAACTGCTTCAACAGAAAGCAGTAATTTGATACTTTACAAGAGGTTAATCACAAAACTGATTTTTAAGGATGGATCTATGTTGTTTAAAAATGTTCCAAAGTATTACAGAAAAGGAATGATGATTACAGTTTGCCTTCCCACCCTCCCCAATGTATTTGTCCATAGAAATCTCAAGAAAAAAACAGGAGTTTTATCTTTAATTAGCAATGTAAGCAATCACATCTGAATTGACCATAGTGTAAAGATACTGTTTAATATAAACTTCCTGGTGAGTGTGGCCTTTCAAAAGAAGTGAGGATGAGCACCAGTCTTATCCTTTGTAAACTAAACTACTGTAAATACATCAAATGCAGTTCAAGTTCACAGAGTACTCCATTAGTTAATCTAGACATATACTAACTTATTTAAAAACAAAAAACAAAACAAAAAACTCCCAATACTACTGTAATTACCAGACACTAAAGTAATCTATATTTTTTTGTAACCTCAAAAAGCCAAATTACAAAAATAAAACCACAGTTCATGTGTTTTATCTACTGGAAATGATGGTATTGATACTTGATTTGCTTTTTTAAAAATTCTTCTCTATGTATAAAATAGCAGGTAGTGATATTTTTCAGGACTACCAACAAACTGGCAGGCCGGAGAAGAATTTAATTAAGCATAAGAATTAGATTATCTAAAAAGTCTGACAAAATAAAATATCAGGCAATCTGAACTTACAACTGAGACCATCACACACAACGTTCTGATCAATGAAGTAATTCTAAATGGAAAAATCACACGCATCTTTTTGTTTCCTAAAATAAGCTGAAAAATATATTTTTTTAAATTCATATCCATCTTAAACTCATTGAATATTCGTATGTGAGGCTTGGAAACCCACAGCACAGCTGGGACATGAAACTGAGCTTGTTAGACAAGCTGGTTCAACTAGGAAAAAAAAAAGAGATGGGAAGAAGGTGGCCCTCAGACGTGTGAAATCCACAGCTGGAAATGATGGGTAGCTGTCTGAAGGACAGAAGCATAGTGGAAGTATCTTGAGTTCAAGAAAAACCTACATTTCAATGATACAGAGATATGATACAGCAAAAAACTATCCTGGGAAAGGCCCTAACACAGTTTATAACAGTGAGTCTGACTCACGAGGCATAGAGGTGGTGGTTCCAATGCAGCCTAGGGAAACTGAAATCTCTGCTCACCTAGCTTCACTGTGATCAGAAGAACTCAACACAATTATTTATTTAATAGTATATCAAACCAAAATTGTAAAAGAAGATGTCGTAGTTCTAAATGGTCAGGCTACCAGTCAACCAGAAGTTGGGCCAGATAAAAAGTTATTTCTGATGGTGTAGGTAGGTAAGTCACATGCTGGAAGTAGCTCGACACATTAACCTGAAAAGCACTATAGCACTATGACCTAAGAAGCTGGTTCTCCACCCCCCCGCCCCCTGTTTTGACATCTCATGGTACCAGTGCAGGTCACACATATTAACAGTACGCAGAGGAATGTACTCATATCAAAAGGACCACAGAGCAGCGTAAGTGGACAGCCGCGTTATCTGCGTGAGACATTCACTATACATAGCCCAGAGTCTCCATCTCACTCCTGTACCGCTGCTCAGACACCTTGCTCTTATGCTGCTTGCTCTCTAAATGCTGCCGGAATTCCATCTCTTCACCAGCCCCAACATTACACATGGAGCAGTAAAACTGGCCACTTGGAGTGACGCACATGGCTAGATCACGTGGAATCCTCTGCCGAGAGCGGGGATTGAAGTAAGGACCTGCTAAAGCAAGAGATGAAATATATTCAGAATATTCACTAAGTGAAATTACAATTATCACTGTAATTTGTAATTCTAAATTCAAATTATAAAACTCACGGATTCTAAGCTTTAAAGGAATGTGAAGTCGATGGATTTTTAAAATTATAATTTTATACAAGTTTGATCTGAAAAGATAAAATGATTTAATCCAAATATTGTCAGAAAATCTGCTATAGAACCAAATCTAAACTCCAAATGGCTCTGTCTCTGAGAAAGGGAATACAATTTTTAAAATATTTTAATTTCCAAGCATTCTATCAGAAGTCTTATAATTATGCTAACCTTTATTCCAAAAATTCTACTTCTAAGAATTATCTTAAGAAAACACTGAGAATTTGTACATGGAGATCTACCAGCAAGGACATTTATTTCAGTAATGTCTATAAAAACAAAAATTTAGGGGGAAGGGAGACCCAAAAATAGGATTTGAAAAATTATGGTAATGAATGCAACGGAAAATTATGTAGTCACTAAATATAATGCTACAGAAAACTCTTATAATATGCCAGTAAGTAAACCAAGAATATCATAAAATAAGATACCATTTCTGGCTCAGCGCCTATAGCTCAACCGGCTAAGGCGCCAGTCACGTACACCTAAGGTGGCAGGTTCGAATCCCCAGCCTGGACCCGCCAAACAACAATGACGGCTGCAACCAAAAAATAGGCGGGCGGGCGCCTGTGGTCCCAGCTACTTGGGAGGCGGAGGCAGGAGACTCGCTTGAGCCCAGGAGTTGGAGGTTGCTGTGAGCTGTAATGCCATGGCACTCTGCCCAGGGGGACAGCTTGAGGCTCTGTCTCAAAAAAAAAAAAAAGATACCATTTCTATATATATATTTTTTTCTTTTAGAGACAGGGTCTTGCTATGTCACCCATGCTGGACTGCGGTGGTGTGATCATAGCTCACTGAAGCTTCAATCTCCTGAGCTCAAGTAATCCTCCCACCTTAACCTCCTTGTACCTGGAACTACAAGTGCATCAACATACTTGACTAATTTTTTTTTTTTTCTGCAGTTTTTGGCCAGGGCTGGGTTTGAACCCGCCACCTCCGGCATATGGGGCTAGCGCCCTACTCCTTTGAGCTACAGGTGCCGCCCAACTAATTTTTTTTTTTTAATTTTTATAAAGACAGGGTCTCATTTTTGCCCAGGCTAGTCTGGAATTCCTGCCCTCAAGTGATTCTCCTACCTCAGCCTTCTAAAGTGTTGGGATTACAGGTGTGAGCCACTGTGCCCAGCCCCATTTCTATTTTAAGGAAGTAATATATTTTTATATATATATAAAGAGATTGGAATGACATCCACAAAAATGTTAGTGACATTACTGATAATTTTATTTTTTTCTTTTTCCATTACTGACTTCTTAAAGTAGATGATTAGTTCATTAATTTTCTGCTTTTCTTTCTGCTATATTATTTAATGCTTTTCTCAAAATACTGCTTTTAATGAAGGCCAATACTGCTTTTAATGAAGGCTGAAATTTTTTATATATTTTCATTACTGTTTGTTTCCAAGAATTTTTAATTTCCAGGATAACTTCTTTGAACCATGAGTCATTCCCAAGTGTTTCAAAATTGCTAAACAAATGAAAATTTTGTTTGCTTTTATATTTTTGTCTGTCTTGTTAAACCCTGCCAAGTCTCAGCAGTGTTTTTATACTTTTGTTATTGACACATCATGTGAATCTACTCTGGTTAGACAACATAATCTGTATTACCTTCATCCTAAAATTTACTTTATCTCATACTAATCTTGTTATCCAAGTTTCTTTCATTGCAGCTGGATTCCTTTTAGCCAATCTGACAACAATAAATGTAAACTTACATTTATTGTAATTACTAATAAATGTTTAGACTTCCTAATCGTATTACACTGTGCTTTCTATATGTCCCTGTTTTACTGAGTTTCTGTTCCTTTTCAATTAAAGTTGTACCATGTATAATTAAGTTCATTTTTTGTTTATTTTACTGTTCACATAAATGACCTCTGCTGGCATGTGTCTGTATCACAGTCTCAGGGACAGGAGAGGATGCGGGACTGCTCGGTCCTACTCTACTTCTGAAGATAATCAGAATATGCAGAAAGCACTCCTATAAATGCATGGTTGTGAACTGAATGTGTGTATAGAATCTTCAAGGAAGCATTTTCAAAACACGCATATATCTAGGTCCCACTCCACATTTACTGATTGAAACTCACTAAAGTCATGATTCAGGCATTTTGTAAAAATTCCCCTGGTAGGCTTGGCGCAGTGGTTCCTGCCTGTAATCTAGCACTCTGGGAAGACAAGATAGGAGAAGCACTTGAAGTCAAAGTTTGAGACCAGCCTGAACAAGAGTGAGACCCTGTCTCTACCCAAAAGAGAAAAATTAGCCTTGTGTGTAGCAGGAACCTATAATGCCAACTACTCAGGAGGCTGAGGGAAGAGGATTGCTTGAGCCCAAGAGTTTGAGGCAGCTGTGAGCTATGAAGCCATGGCACTCTACCGGAGTGACAGAGTGAAACTCTGTCGCAAAAACTCCCCTAAACAAAAAGCTCCTTAGGTAATTATGGTTCACTACCCCGGTTAAAAGCCACTGCTATAATCTATTTTATTTTCCCCCCAAATGGGAATTACACATGGTACATCTCTAAACCAACCATTTTTATCATGCATTTTACATTTCTTAACCGGAAAATACCAGAAGAAACATAAATGGACTATAAGAGACCCTAAAACATAGGCTATGGTTTAAAACTAAAATAATATACCAAATAGAAAGCAAATAAATTAGACCTGAAATAAACACCAGCCTGAATAGCCACTAGACCAATTCAGCATAAGAATGACTAACCCCAAATTCTCAGCGCTATCTATTGCCACAGAAGGAAATAAATTAAAGGAGAACATTTGCAGAATGAAGCCAAGGCATATGGAAATACACAGGATACCTGAATTATTCTGCACTGTATACGTATTTCTCCTAGTAGGCATCATCTTAAATTCATTCCCTTCCTTCCGGGCCCGCCGGTGGCCCACCTCTGAGGAATCCCTGGAGGACAGAAAATTAAAAAGAGTGAGATTTCTAAACAAGAATCCCTTTCAACTCTTTTTCTTTAAAGCAGAGTTTCATATAACACTTTGGCCTCAGAGAAAATGGCAATACCTACGAGAATGAGTTACTCTGAGCTTCCGCCAGCCGCAGCCGCTTGGCATGATTCTTCCCTTGATAGTGTGCCTGCGCCACAGCCGGAGAACTGAAGGAGGCATCACAGAGCTTACAGTAGTCATTCTCTGTGGCCAGGATCACTCTGCCTCCCGGCTTAAAGGAGCCCATCTGACATCAAAGACACAAGAAGAAACAAAGTTAAAAAAAATACAGAGCTTATTCCCTCCCCCACCTCAAAGGTCCTCCCAAGAGTTGAAAAACAAGGGATATGACATGGCATGACCCTAAGTACTCAGCTTCGTAAGGAAACAGATTCATTCCAGAAAACACGGCTGGGAGATACTTAACCATGGTTTTGTATTATAATCACCTATGTACTATATTAATGAATGGCCCATTGCTATCTCCACTGAAGAAGTTTCTAACTTGAGTTTAAAAACCCCCAAATGGAAGATTTAAGGCAATAAATAATGGGTAAATAATAAATAGGTATGGCTTAAAACCACATTGCCAGAAAGCATAAAGTCTGCTCAGAATCCATCAAGAAGCATTTACTGAACTCTATTTATTGGGCTTGCTGCCTCACCCAGAAGGGATACACAGTAGAAATGCCATAGTTGCTGTGTGACGCCAAGGGTAATAAAGTGAGACTCTGTCTCTACAAAAAAAAAAAAAAGAGAGAGAGAGAGAGAAAAGAAAAAAAAAGAGATGTCATAGTTGGCTACCTCCCTACACTGACCACCTCCTTAAGTTGACCCTAATTTTCTTTTTTTTTTTTTTAACAGAGACAGTCTCACCTTATTGCCCTCAGTAGAGTGCTGCAGCATCACAGCTCACAGCAACCTCCAACTCCTGGGCTTAAGCGATTCTCTTGCCTCAGCCTCCCAAGTAGCTAGGACTACAGGTGCCCACCACAACCCCCGGCGATTTTTTCTGTTGCAGTTTGGCCAGGGCTCAAACCCGCCACCTTGGTATATGGGCCAGCACCCTACCCACTGAACCACAGGCACCACCCTGACCCTAATTTTCATAGCCCAGACATGCTCCACATCTAAGTATCAGTACAGGAGGCCTAGTTCCTTATGATGACCTCCTCCATATGTTGACCAGTTTGTTACAGTCCCTTGGGTGGTCAATTTACAGAGGTTCAACTGTATAGTCACATATTTTTAAAAATTTAGCCCCTATCCTCAAAGAGGCTACCAACTAGCTACAGGTAAAATATAATCAGGGAAAAATAAGGAACAGATCCAGATGATTGTATTCAGGTTGGTAAACAACGTGTTAAGGGAAAACTGACACAGTACCTGGAAGATAGTAGGTACTCAATAAATACTGCTGGGTCAACAAAAAAATGATATGATAAATTTTGGATAGAAGAGAGTAATATATGATAAAGATTCTGAAACCATATATATCTTGAACAGTTAAAGAAAATGAAACTGATTCATATGGAAAGGAAGATTTTCTAGGGACAGTGTAGCTGTCTTCAAAAATCATGAAGAGCTATGCTATAAAGAAAGGTCTAGGGGTGTCCAACCCTCAGCTTGAGGGACACATGTGGCCCAGGGTGCCTATGAATGTGGTTCAACACAAAATTGTAAACCTACTTTTTATAAATATAACTAATTGTAAACCTTATGAGATTTTTTAAATCATTTTTTTGGCAGAAATCGATTACCTGGTTCTTCAGCATGAACTTTATAGACAACAATGTCGTGGTGCAATTTCACATAAAATAAATACACATAAGCTCTTGCTACTTGTAGCTTCAGTTTTACAGTGGTGTGCGACTTCCGATGTGTCACCTTCCGAGCACAGATGGTCTAATTGACACCATCAGATATTGCATGTGCTTGAAGTGACTTGATGAGGCAGCAATTATCAATATCTCAACCTAACACTGCAACATTAGGTGTTCAATGTTCTACAGACATCAGCTGAGCACTCTTATTTGCTTATTAAGGTATGTCCAGCTTAGCAGCACCTCACACGTCCCCTGTTGCACTTTAGAGTCAGCTTCCACCTGCCCCTGCATCGGCAGCCGAGATGTGGAAGGGCCGAAACCCTGTTTTCTATTTTCCTGTAAACTAATTCTCATACTAAACATAAATATAGTCTCTTTTCTATTATTTTTTAACCCAGCATGGCTTCTACAATGTCTCAAAAGAAAAGAGAACCCCAAAAAGAAAAATTATAGGTAAAGGAATATTATTCAATGAAAAGTAGGCAGATGACTACTTTTTTGCCAAGGCAGATAGTAAGGTACTCTGCTTAATTTGTAGGGAATCTGGGCAAGTTTTCAAAGACTATAATTTGAAAAGGCATTATATGCAAAAACATGCTGCCAAATTCAATGCATATAAAGGATTGTGTCATAAGGACAAAATAGCAGAACTGAAGAAAAGTCTTCTCTTTTTTTTTTTTTATTAAATGATAGCTGTATACATTAATGCAAACATGGGGTACAGTGTAGTGTTTTCATATACATTTTGAAATACTTTCATCAAGCTGGTTCACATAAATTTCATGTCATTTGCATAGTCATGGTGTCAAAACATTTATATTCTAGTTCTAGAAAAGTTCACTTGTACCCTTGTTAGACAGATATATAGGTGAATGACCGGAAAGTCTTCCTTCTCAACAAAATATTTTGTAAAAAGTTAACTCAAACCTATAATCCTAGCACTCCGGGAGGCTGAGATGGGTGAATCACTTGAGCTCAGGCGTTCAAGATCAGCCTAAGAAAGAGCACAACCCCTTCTCTACTTAAAAAAAAAAAAGTTACAACTCAGATGGATTCCACTGTAAAAGATAGTTATGTGGTAGCATACTTAACAGCAAAAAAATCAAAACCATTTACTGATGTTTAGTTTATTAAGCAATGTATGGAAAGCATGGCAGATAAAATTTGCTCTGAAAAAAGGAGGATATTTCTAAAATCAGTTTGTCTCACCAGATGATAGCCAGAAAAACTGAAGAAACTGGAAAATCTATCAAAAGAAGTTTGGAGAGTAAAGCTGCTGAGTTTGAATGTTATGCTTTGGAGATGGATGGCAGCACTGAGACTATCAATATGGCTCAACTTGCCATTTGTATTAGAGGTATTGGTGATAAATATAATGTCACCAAAAAGTGGCTTCTTTAATATCATCAAAAGATACAACCAAGTCATAAGATTTATACGAAGCAGTAAAAAATATGTTAGAGCAGTTTTGTTTGTCCATTGTCAACATATCTGCTATGGTGACTGATGGTGCCCCAGTGACAGTAGATAAAAGAAAAGGACTTATGAAATTAAAGGAAGATGATGCAACTGCCACCCAAAACTCATATTTGATGAAGTATCACTGCATAGTACACCAAGAAAATTTATACGCAAAAACTTTAAAAATGGATAATGTCATGAAATTGTCATCAAGACTGAATTTCATAGTGGCCAAGGGATCAAATTATTGCCAATTCTAAGAATTCCTTAAAAGCAAAGATGTTAGGGTGATATCATTTAGTTTTCAGAAGTAAGATGGCTCAGTCAAGGCCAAATGTTGAAAAGATTTTATGATTTCCAACATGTTATTAAGTCATTTATGGCATCAATACCCAAATTTGTGCCAGAACTTGACAATGAAAACTGGCTTGCAGATTTTAGCATTTTTAGTGGATTTAGCCACTCATTTAAATGAGTAAACATGTGTTTTCAAGGTGAAAACCAATTTATTGATACAATGTTTAAAACCGTAACAGTGTTCCAAATGAAACAAATTATGGCAAGCTCAAATTAAGACAAACAATTTTATGCATTTCAATACCTTGGCTAAACACAGTCGTGTGAGGAGCAAAAAATATGCAGTCTTGCTTTTTGATTTGATATAAGAACTTGAAAACAGATTTTAAGATTTCCAGCAAAATAATTAATATTTTAGTGCATTTGTGACTCCACTTTTAGTTGACATAAATACTCTACCTACCAATTTTCAAATGGATGCACAGATCTGCAACTGACATTCAGCTTAAAGAAAACTTTGATCATGTCTCTTTACTAGACTTTTATCGGTTCCATCTTCCTCACTTCAGAATCATGCCTTATTCATGTCATCACTTTTTGGCAGCACCTACATTTGCAAGCTATTATTTTCAAGAATGAGGCACATTAAGAGTAAAATTAGAACCAAAATATCTGACGAGCACCTTGAACCTCATTGAGAACTGCAGCTACTTCCATCGAACCAGATATTGATGCATTAGTTTGTCAAATGCAATGTCAAATATGCCACTAGTTTTATGTTGCCCACTTTTCTTTTAAAATAAAAAATATCCCCCAAAAAGACATTTTATTACGTAGATATGTACTTTTCTACATTAGTGATCACAAACTTGGGACCTGCTCAACGGTTCTAAAAGACTCTCTGAATAGCCTACTGCACAATTAAGATTATTATATGAGGACATTTTTGCTTATCTGTGGTGGCAGATATCACAAAAATTATGAATGGACCTTTTTTTTTGTTCATGAGCTTTCGTTAGTGTTTGTGTATTTAATGTGTGGCCCATTCTTCTTCCAATGGGACTCACAGAAGCCAAAAGGTTGGACACCACTGGCTTAGGCTGTCTGCCCAGGAAAAGTGGAGCCAGCTCACAATCCTGAATGGGGGCAGCCATTCAATTCCAGAGCAGCCTTCAGGAACCAGTAACTTGAAAACCATTCACAGCTTAAAGATCTCTTGGGTGTTTCCTGTTCTCTGATTCCATTCTTAATATACTTCATTTTCCTCACAAATCCATGAGATGGAAGAACGGCCAAAGGCTAACTGACACTCAGAAAAGTAAAATCATACCATGATGGTTAGGGACAAATGTCTAAACGAAACAAAATTCTTGCTCTGCCACTTTGCAAAACATCTAACACTGTGTTATATGACTTAGCTTATCTGAGCTTCTGATAAACTTCCATAAGGTAAATGATATTGGCTCAAACCTCTAAGTTGTTACAAGTGTTAAATCAAGCCAGGGCCCCAGACTAGGATAAAGCAAGTGAGACACTCTCCTTAAGCACAGGATTTAATATCATCAAGATAATATTTTAATATACTACTTTTAAAAATCAGATCCCATGCAAATAAACCAATAAACAAAATACCAAAACTTTAAATACTTCACCAGTACCAGTGCCAGGCCCAGCCACATCACAGCCCGAGGCAAAAGGAAAATCACTTAACTCTTACATCCTGTCTTCACACGTTTGATGCTTTCTTCATCACTGATTTTTTTTACATTAATTTTAAGTTTTTAAAACATCACATTAAGTATTTATCTCGATTACTGAGTTTTTTAGCTCCCCCTTAAATTTTGCGCCCGTCAAGTATACCCCTTACCTATTTCCAGCCCTGAATGAAACAATGAATGAAAAGTGCTCACCGCTGTGCCGAGCATAATAAGTACTCAATTATAGTTATTATTTTTTTATGACCATTGTATTATTTTATGGACAAATAACACTACAAAGATAGATTAAAGAGTAGAATCCATATTTCAGAGGCTACTAAGATACAGGAATATCTCCCTAAATCAACTTGCTCTATCTTCCAAAGACCAAAAAGAAACCTGGCTCTCAAGTATGTCTCATAATAGCAAAGTCCAAAAAGTGTTTACACAGGCTGCCAACATAGAGGTAAGTAAAGGGCAATCTCTGGAAACTAATCTTACAAATGGAAGACAAAAATCTAAAGGAACTGGATTGACTGCGAAAAAGAAAGAAATATTTAAAAACCTCTCTTTTCATTCAGGGTCATTTTAACCCTACATTCTGAGAAATGCAGAGAGAAAGACTCATGTAACAGTATTCGCTTCATCATTTCACGAATCACAAACACAGCCAATGAAAAATCTCAAGACTTACAGATCTGGGCATGTGTTAAATCGAGCACTATATAGTTCAAGGGGTTACAAGTACCAAGTAGCATCTACTTTAGGATTATTTGCCTAACTGTACCCTAATGGACACATGGACAACAAATTTCATTCACGACATTCTGTGCACACGACAGCTCCTCCCCCAGCGCTGCTTCATCCAGACGCATCTCACCTGTGGGGGGACTGGAACGACTGGAGTGGCTGCAGGCTCCACCGCATGGCTCATTCTGGCAGGAGGGGGACAGCTATTTGCTGCATAGTAATTTCGGAGTTTCTTACCATGGTTTTTACCCTCGAAGGAAAAATAAAATGATTACAGTAGATACCCCCTAATCCCCATCCACAGTTTTGCTTTCACAGGTTCAGTGGTCTACTGTGTCCAAAAATATTAAGATATTTGGGATCGGCGCCTATAGCTCAACTGGCTAAGGCACCAGCCACGTACACCTAAGGTGG